GGGTTTACCACATATGTAAATAGTTGACTTTTATTTGTATTATGTGACTGATGATTTCACTGAAAACCTGCACAATTCAGTTTTAACTCTGGATTCAGTTAACATTTGTTAAGCATTTACCTGTGTAGAGTGAGCATTTGGTTTGTTTGAACCTATTAGGATTTTTTTTTTTTCATTTCATATTAAAGAAATTATTTTCTAGAAGAAAGAGGTGTGTATTAATGCTGAGCTTGTTGGTTTTAGGGTGGCTCTTTTAGTCAGGCTTTTGAAAGATTGAGATGTTAAGAGAGAATGAATCCTGAATGTGGAGCACTTTAGTTCTAAAATCTTTATTAAAAGCTTTTCTCATCTGAGCCCAAACCAAAGTACTCTCATTGCCGCTTTTTTAAAAGTTCAGGAAGAAAACATTACCAGTTCAGACTTTTTATAATGAGGGAAGAACATTTTGCAAGTGGCCAAGCAGCACACCTGTCAGCCCTGCTGGAGCAGCATTTCTTTTTTTTTTTTTTTGTCCTCCCCTGAGGACATTTTTGCATTTATCTTCAGATAGAGCAGGAGGGAGGGAGGGAGGGAGGGAGAGAGAGAGCTAGAGAAACATTGATGTGAGAGAGATACATTGACTGGTTGCCACCTGTACAACCCCAACCGGGGCTGTGGATGAACTGCAACCGAGGTACGTGCCCTTAGCAGGAACCAAACCCAGGACTCTCTGGTCTGCAGGTCAGCACTCTAACCACTGAGCCAAACTGGCCAGGGCTGGAGCAGCATTTCTTAGAGAAAGCTCACAAACCAGGATCAGTAGCTCAGTGGGCAAGTCTCCATTGTCTCATATTCCACTCTGAATCAGAACCACAGAGGTCTAATAAGGCCTTCTTACAAACTTCATTATAGAGGGACCTTGATCATGAGCTATGAAGCTTCTAATGAATCATTAGAGAAACACAGCTACTTCCTTAGCATGATCAGGGACCAGAATACACTAGTAATGTGATGTGGCGGAACTTTGATTCTGGCACAATTCTGAGAGGCATTCAAAGTTGATGGGTAATCCCAGCCCAACTGAAATCCGATCCTTGTGGTTACAGCTAGCTTTAAGATGCTGCAAGTTAGCAGTAGGATTACAACACCAGTAGGCTACATCTGTATACAGGATTGGGCTAGTACCAGCCCCCTTGCTGGCATAATGGGAGCTGGAGGTGGCACTGAGATCCAAGTGTTTTTTTTATCGTAATTGATGGCCATAGTCAATTTCCATGGAGTTTTGTAGGATGTCACATTTTGGGAGGCCATCTTGCAGGGGACCAGTCTTGGACTTACTGATTCTTACCTCTCATTGCCTATTTGACCATGATTAATTTTTCTCTGACAGATCTTATTCATTTCATAGATCTGATCTGCTTTAGCTAGGATTCTTTTTTTTTTTTTTTTTATCCTCACCCAAGGACATTTTTTGTTCAGGTAGAGTGGGAGGGAGAGAGAGGAAGAGAGAGAGAGAAAAAAAACATCGATGTGAAAGGGACACATCGAGTGGCTGCCACCCACATGACCGACCAGGGCCGGGGACAAACTGCAACCAAGGTACATGCCCTTAGCGGGAACCGAACCCAGGTCTCTCGGGACCGCAGGCTGATGCTCTAACCGCTGAGCCAAACCGGCCAGGGCTAGCTAGGATTCTTTTTAAAAATCTACTTTTTAAATGAGATTAACATAGCCCTTGTTTTGTTATTCTCTCCTTTTCTGGCTTTTCAAATTTTCTTTTGAGTTAAATATATACAAGGTATCCTCTGGTAACTTAAAAATTTGAAGTCCTATAATTATATTTCTAATATGATTTATTCCTGAATTTTCTTTTTAAAGAACCAGCTTTTGTTTTTACTGGTTATTATATACCAAACATTTGTGTACATCCCTAAATTCATATGTCAAATAGTGTATGAGAATGTCAAATAATTCTTTATCATTTAAAAATTATAAATATATTGTTTTTAAACTTTGCTAGATTGATATGCAACTTCTTCAGATTCATCCCAGAGGAACCCCTATCTCTTTTTGCTGCTATAGACCTAATCTTTCTTCTCTGAAGTTTTTTTCTTTTTTCTCTTTCATGGAATCTTTCTAAGAATAATTTTTTAGAATTCCCCCTGTGGGAATTCAAACTTGACTGTCCCTGGTACAAAAGAGCATTTTTATTTCTATCACTGTTCTCTATTATATTTATTTTTTAAAAATTCATCTTTGCAATCTCTCTATGAGATAATAATTTCGCAGATAAAATTAAAATTAAGAGTTTAAATGACTTTCCCAAAGTTATACAACCAATAATTGGAAGATTCTGGACTCCTCTTAGACTTTCTGATTTTCAGAGCTGATAACATCAGATTGGGGTGATTCGGTGGGAAGGTCAGTGAAACAGTCTGTTAACATTTTCCAAAGGGAATTTGTATCTGCTATCTTTAATTGTCTTGAAGATTGTGATAAAAACTTTTTTCATGAGAGATGATGGAAGCTATCAGACTGAAGGCTCCTGATGGGGATTGAGGACGATGAGGAGTGCCGGAATTGATTGGCAAGAAGTGCACCTTGCAGACTAATATGATTGCCTAGTTAAGGAGATTACATGTGAACTGAAGACAGAACAAACACTGAAAACCAACACATACTGCAAAGCAAATAACGTTCAGCAAGTCTTCAGAGCTGACAAGACTAACACAGTGTTGAAAGGGCGGCTGATGAAATTTAAACTCTGATACATGGCTAAAAAGAACATTAGAGGAGTTGATGCAGCACGGGGAGTAGATATTTTTGAGGAAAAACAGCCAGAATGGATCAATCATGAAACATTAAAGCAAGACACCTTTTTCGAGATCATCTAACCCTACTTTCCTTACTTCACAGATGAGAACACTGAGGCCTCTGAAGAATACACGGTGAAAACGTTTTATAACCAAGAGTAGAAACTACATTTTTTATTCTAAGTCCTCATCCTTTCCACTGTCTCTTGAGTATTATAACATTTCAATCCATAATATTAAAATTAACTTGTTAATTACTTCAACTTCTCTTTGCAAGTAGGCAGGTACAGCAATGCAGTCTTATAATCATCAAGTGAAATATTATCTAGGAAATAGAAGTGATGGAAATTATAAGGCTGAAATACCTCAACTCTGAAGACAGTGATACAGATACTATTACTTTTCTCAAACGGACAAGAGTTGTATCATCTGGGATAGCTTGTGGTTAAAAATGGATTACTTTCTATAACAAAGTTATAGAGCAAAAGAATAATGGCAATTTTTTGGTTTGGAAGAACAATCATTTTTCTCATTCGCATACAAACAATAAAAACAATTTCTATTCTAAGTAGCTATTTATCTTCATTCCTCTTCTGTATGTATTTATTCACACTGTCTCATTAAATTGTGATATTGTTCAGAACTCCTTGGTTATGTTGTAATTTTACCATCTGGGATGCATCAGTCATAAAATGTATATATACATTGTAATAAAAATCGATGCTTCACAAGAATTCATATTGGTTGTATTCCATCTTAAAGACCTTTGTTCTGTTGAACAGTCGAAATATGTAATATTTCAATTCAAGAAGAATTATCTTATTTTCCACTTTTTTCAGTCTCTGCTATAACATTCTAAAATAACATTCATGAAATACAAAAATCTTTGGAGACTTTATGTAAAATCTATATGGAATTTCTTATTTAGCTTATGATTTTCACTTTACTGCTATCAATATCTATAATGATTATACTGTATTAAGTTGTTTAGAACTATTTAATGGAGTTCTACAGACCTTGGTGGTTTCTTTAATAAATTCAGTTTAATTAGTAATGCATTGTAATGTGTTGTTACACATAAAAAATTGCTTACTAATCCCTTTCCCATCTGTTAAAATAGTTCCAGATGCTTCACAGAAGTATAGAAGAAAGGGATCAAAATTAGGTAAGTGTATATAAAGCACTTTTTAGGCATTTTGGGATTCACACACAGAGCAATTTTTCTATCATCAACTCGTTCATTGCTGGGGACACAAAAAATATTATCTTCGTTGAGATCTATTATACTCTAGTGGTAGGAAGAGGCAGTATACACAATTATAATATGAAGCAGAATGTTATACATACCAGAAGGTCAAGCAGGGATAAATTACAGGTGGTTGGGGATATCCAGAAAGACTTATTGAAAGAGCTGGTATTTAAGGAAGATTTTGAAAGTAGGCAATTTATAGATTATGATAAAGTAAGGAAGATAACATGAGCAAAGACACAGAGACAGAACACATTGGATATATTTGGAATATAGCAAATAATATAAGTTGATGCAGTTTGGAAGCTTAATAAAGTAATGCTAACAATCATTTAATAAGCACCTATTGTGTGCTATGCTTTCTGCTTCATACTACACATGCATCGTTTTATTGAACTTTTAGAACACTCTATGAGGGAGATGCTACTAGTATCCTACCTTCCAGGTAAAATGATCTTAAATGATTTGCTCAAGGTCACACAACTATTCAGTAGATGTTCTCATATCTTAATGTAGGTCTGACTGGTAATAAAACTCATACTCTTGACCACTACTCTGTAGAGTTATATTGTAAAGATTTCAAATACAGATAAGTGAACTTTATTTCCCATGTTGTTAGCAGTAGAAAACTATATATATATAATTAGCAGGGGTACAAATTATCAAGAGTTTTTAAGATTAACCTGTTATCAGTGAGTTGAAGGAATTAATGTGGGGAAAGAAAATTGACTGGTTAGCAGACTGTTATCAACAGTCTATGTGAACTAATGAACTGAGCTGGGTTTATAGAAGTAGGTTGAAAAGGTGGGAACACACACAGAAACCTTTTTAATTTTTAAAGATTTAACAAAATAACTATATTTATACAGAGGGATGAAGAAGTATGGAGTTTCAGAGTTAACCTTGGGTGAAATTTGAGCCCAGATAACAGTAAATGGAGAAGAGAAAATGTTTTGAAGGAAAAAAACAAAACATAACAATAACAACAACAAAAACCAGTTTATCCCAAGTTCACGTCGCTTGAAGAACATGCAGATGACTGTCAAAATTATTTGAATGTCCATGTGAAGGTGAGACTTGAGGCTTGAGATGGAGATTTGGCAACTATTTGTATGGGAGAAAGTGTTAAAGCTATTTGAGTGAAATCCCTAAGGAAGAAAACATAGAAAGGGAAATTTGAAGATAGAACCTTTGGAAAGGCCTACATTTAGAGACTAGAGGGAGAAAAAGGAACTAGTAACAGAATCAGTAGTGGTCCAAAGAACAAATCTTTGGACTAGGTCAGTGATTTTCAACTTGTGTGCCACAGGGCTTTTTAAAACATGTAATACCTGACTGTTTAGTCAGGGACACTGACCTCTTTTCCCTTAGATTATCAAATAAAAAAACAACAACCAATGCAACAGTAGCTGTCTGGTGTGAATCAATAAAAATTATACATATCTTACTTGTCAAATTGGCAAATATTTTTTGGTGTGCTGCAGAAATTTAGTAATTAGTTTACATGTACCATGAGATGAAAAGGTTGACAATCACTAGACTAGGTGATTAAAAGTCCTTGGACTCCTTTTAAAGAGACGTTTGGTGAAAGCCAGATGGTCAAGCATTTAAGAGTGAATAGATGGCTAGGATTTCTGGCAACCAGATTATACTCTTTCTATTGTGTGACCCTAAACCTTTTCTTTAGAGGAATAGATAGTAATTGTTTTCTTAAAAAAAAAAAGAGTAATTGTTTTCTGCTTTCTTTTATATCTCTTACACTCTAACTATATACATTATTTTCTCTTCACTGTGTTTCTTTATGGAAATATTTTAAAGTTACTCCATTTTGTGAGGACTATATATAGTATAATCTATAAACATGTTTAACTAGTTAAATATATAACTCCAGTACATAAATGGATAATGGGTGACTGACGAGCTCCTCTGTGAAGCACTCTGAGTTGTGGTACCTCCACCTTTCCAGAGGAGGCTTCACATCCCATTTAGGACAAATGACCTGCTTATGTGTGGTCTGAGACTTCTAGTGTATCAATTTGATACTAAATATCCATAGGCCTATATTTCTTATATATTAAATAAAAATAAATATAAATAGAATATCCTTAAATGAACTTGTATTGAAAAATCTTATTGTTTCCAGAACTGTACCCCAACTTGTTACTCTCAGTTTAGTAGTCCACACAGACAGACTCCCAATACCTGCCTTACACTCAGAATTGTTTGCATCTCTCTTTATATTTGATTTTTAGGTCAATAGACCTTCTCAACAGCCAATGTCACGTCTTCCTCCTCCTACTTTGCAGCTCACCGTGGAGCCTTGTGGAGGATGAGTGATGGTGTGGTCCTGGAACATAACACCTAGAGGAGAGCCTTGACAAAAATAACACACACACACACACACACACACACACACACACACACACACACGTATATATATTTTATCCTCACCTGAGGACATTTTTCCACTTTTTGGTCAGATAGAGTGGGAGGGAGAGAGAGGAAGAGAGAGAAACATCGATGTAAAAGGGACACATCGAGTGGCTGCCACCCGCATGACCAACCAGGGCCGGGGACAAACTGCAACCGAGGCACACGCCCTCAGCAGGAACCGAACCTGGGTCTCTCTGTACCACAGGCTGACGCTCCAACTGCTGAGCCAAAGTAGCCAGGGCTATTTTTAATTTTTGATGACCATATTTATGCTTCAGTATTGCCAACACTGTTTAATATTTTTCTGGAGCCAATGTAAAAGTAAAATAATATGAAGGACATCAGTAAAATGGCAGAATAGGAGACTTTGGACTTTCCTTACTCCTACAAATGCACTGATTAAACAGCTACATGCAAATCAGTTCCTTTGGAGGGAAATACAGAAACCATTTGAGTGACTCCTACACATCTGGTAACTGAGAAAATGCCCACGTTGAAATGAGTAGGAAAAACTGAGACACACTCATGCCATGAATCCTCGTTGCAGCACCTTATAATCAGAAAGGAACCTTCAGCTGCCAGCTCCTCCCTGAGGAGCAGTGTTTAGACCACACATCTAGCTTCCCAAACTTTATGGCTGCTACTCAAAGGTCTGGTTCCCAAGTCACCTACCTCTAGCTGCTAGTGGGGACCTGTATTTGTGAGTTAGACAAAGAGCTGGAACCACATTAAACATAAGGTAGTTTTAAACAGAAATATGAGCACTTACTATGGCTGTAACCCTGGGATCAACATAGAGGGAGTAGGCGATAACAGAAAGATACCAGTTTTTCCCTGGAAGGTTTGACTGCATATGTCCTAGCTGATGCCCCAGGGTTGGACTTCTAATCAGCTTGCATTTAGAAGTTGACTGGGCTCCTTCAGAAGCCTTAAAAGGCTTATGGGTTCTTCCCTTACCTTCTCTTTCCTCACTCCAATGATAAAAGTAGGGTTCCAGCTTCTCCCTCAAAAAAGCTTGTCCACACATCTAACACCCAAAGTTTTAGAGAGACTGGCTTCTAAATCATCTGTCTCAGAGAGCAAAAAAAGTTCAGCATTCACAAGTGCCCCTTCACCATAGAAAACAAAGAGGTGTTTTTTTTTAACAGACATGTGAATACTCTGGCCCTATCCCTTCCTCCCCAGCTTCAGCACAGAGGGATCAGGGCTCAAATTAAGGCTACCAGTTTCTCCTTGGAAGGGATTTGACATACTTTCCAGTTGCTGCCCAAGGGTCAGGCTTCTAATTAGAAACTGGGATCCAATGGGTCACATAATTTTAGTCCTGAATGGACATGTGGACACTTCCCATGCTTTCTTTAGATAACCCTAGTGATAACACTAATGGAGATAGTGATATACCTGTCAGATAAGTCAAAGTAATGGTCATAAAGATGCTTACTAGGGTCAAGGTGGTAATGTATGAACATGCTGAGAATTTTAACAAAAAGAAAATATAAAGTATGAAATTATAGAGGTAAAAATATATAGTAAGTTAACTGAAAGTTTCAGTAGAGGGGTTCAACAAGAGACTAGATCAAACAGAAGAAAGGATCAGTGAACTTTAAAAGACATGTCAGTGGAAGTCAACCAATCAGAGGAACAAAAAGAAAAAAGAATGCAAAAAAGAAATCGCTTAAAGGACTAATGGGACACCATCTTCTAGATGAATAATCTCATGAGAGTCTCAGAGGGAGAAGAAATAAGGTATAAAGAAGTATTCAATGAAATAATGTCTAAAAACTTACAAACTCTGGGGAAAGAAATAGACATCCAGATCCAGAAAGCATAAAAAGCACCAAACAACATAATCTAGATAAACCCACATTGTGACGTAATCAAATTGTCAAAAGTTAAAGACAAAGAATTGAAAGCAGTAAGAGAAAAGCAAATATGTACAGGCGAACCCTTATAAGATTATAAGCAGTTTTTTCAGCAGAAATCTTATAGGTCAGAGGGAGTAGGAAGTATTCACAGTTCTGAAAGAAAAAAACTACCATTCAAGAAGACTTTGCCTGAAAGTTGTTCTTTAGAATGGGTGAGGTAAAGATATTCCAATATAAACAAAAGCTGAAGTAATTCATCCCCACTGTATCTGCTTTACCAGAAATGCTATAAAAAAAAATTCTTCAAGCTAAAATGATGCTAATTAGTAACATGAAAGTATAAAACTCACTGGTTAATATAAAGTCAAATTCAGAATACTCTAATATGTAATGGTGATGTGTAAATTACATATTACTCTCATAAATCTTAAAAGACAAATGTATTAAAAATGACTATCATAGCAGCACTATTTACAATAGCTAAGATCTGGAAATGACCCAAGTGTCCACCAGTAGATGAGTGAATTAAAAGGCTGTGGTATGTACACAATGGAATACTATGCAGCTATAAGAAAGAAAGATCTCTTATCTTTTGAGATGGCATGAATGGACCTGGAGAGTATTATGCTGAGTGAAACAAGCCAAGCAGAGAAAGATAAATATCACATGATCTCACTTATTTGTGGAATATAATGAACTAAACAAACTGCTGAACAAAATTAACCCAGAGACATGGAGATGGGGTACAGGCTGACATGCCTTGGGGTGGGGATGGGGGTTGTGAGAGAAGAGATAAACCACAGAACTTACATGCATGTATGCATGACCAGTGAACATGAACAACAAAGCTGGAAATGGGGGGGGGGGGAAGGAGAGTGTCAATGGGGGGAAAATGAGAAACATCTGTAACAACAAATTAATAAAAAATTTTAAAAAATGACTAGTTGCAAAAATATTAATGGATACACAACATAAGAATATGTGCATTCTGATATCAAAAACAAAATGTAGGGGAGAGTAAATGTGTAGCGTTATTGTATGCTATTGAAGTTAACAGCTTAAAATGGACTATTATATAACTATAGATGTTTTGTGTAAGCCTTATGGTAACTACAAACCAAAAGAGAGCAGAGGTTACTATACTATCGGGCAAAGTAGAATTTTGAAACAAAAAAGTCAAAGATGTCAGTTTATCAATAATATTGGAAATGTTTATGCATCCAATATTGGAGCATCAAAATATATAAAACAAATATTAATGGACCTGGTGGGAGAAATAGACAACTATATAATAATAATAGGGGATTTTAGTATCCCACTCTAAAATTTAGATCACCCAGATAAAATCAATACAGAACCATTGGACTTAAACTACACTTTAAATGAAAAGAATCTAACAAACAGAGAATGTTTCATTCAACAGCAGACGCATATATATTCTCAAGTGTACATGCAACATTCTCCAGGATAGATTGTTAGGCCACAAAACCAGTCTTAATAAATATAAGAAGACTGAAATGATATCAAGCATCTTTTCTGACCACAATGGTATGAAACTAGAAATCAATAACAGGAGAGAAACTGGACATTTTTCTTTGGATGCATTCACATGAGTGGAATTAGGTAAAAAGTTGTGGATTATGGTTATTGTAATTATGGCATTTTTTTCCTAAAGCAATTTGTAGTTATCCTGGAAAGATATATGACAAGTAAATGAGTTTCTAAATATATAATTAACTAATGAGTTAAGAGCTTCTTTAAATGGTGTGTATCCTTGGCTAGTAGTATTCTAATGCACTAGTATAGCATATCTCAGTAGTTTTTATTAAAAAAAAAAAAAGTTTTGTATTGTAAAAAAAGCTAATAGTTTTACTTGATTTTAGTTCAATTATATCTTATAGTGTGCACATAACAATTATTGTTGAAGTTAGAAATTGAGGGCTTAATGTACAATGCTAACTCTTTATATGTTTAAAATTTTTATGATAAAGCTCTGAGGAGTGTTTTTTTAATCACTTAAATAATAGATAAGATAAAATTATATATGCAAAAATGTATTTAATTTTTTTTAAAACATTTCAAATTTTAATATGGTGAAATATTTTGCTACATTTGATTTTTCTTAGAAAAAGAATGGGATTATCAAGTTGTGCTATTATATATACCAGAGGCAGTACTGCTTAGTGGGTAATACCACCAAATTTGGAACCAACCCACTCTACCATATAAAGGCTCTGGGACCTTAAACAAATTATTCTTTGCTTCAGTTTTTTCTTTAAAAATGATTGTACTAAAGTTGTTGGGAAGACTATATAAGTTGTGTGCATAAGGCACTTAGAATAGTACCTGGAACATAACATTCAATAAGGCTTAGCTATTATTATGGCAAAAGTATTGGATATCTACCAGATGTGTGTGATACAGTAGATTGATAGCTATTGTAGTTAACCTCTACTCTTCTGCTCTCTCATACTGTTCTTACTTTTAATTTTGGAGCACTTTGTACCCAAAGCAATTGATGCATCTATTTTGTTATTTTGTTTGTGGGTAGGTAGAAACATAATATGTTCAACATGTATAATCTTTATAGGATAGAGAGTAGGTGGGCAAAGAGGTATTTCTCAGATTTTGGATTGTACTTGTACTCTTGAATGTTTATTCTTTTATTTTCCAGATTAAATGCATTTATGGAAAAGAAAATATTGATAGTAAAGTAACAGTTGACTATTGTAAGCAATGGATTTCTCCATGGAGAACAACATGTATGTAAACAAAGTGTGGGTTCAATGTGAGAATGACAGTTGTTTGAAATGGAGATTGTTGTCAAGTGAGGATGCAGCCAAAGTTGATCACAATGAACCCTGGTATTGCTACATGAACACCGATTCAAGACATAATGAGTGCTCTATTTCTGAAGAAGACTTTCCTGAGGAGTCTCAGTTCCATCAAAGTGGATTTAAGATTGTCTACTCACAGCTACCTCTTGGTAGCCTGGTTTTGGTAAAATTACAGAATTGGCCAAGGCAAGATTTTTGTTATTGTTTTATAATAAACTGTTGAGATATAGTCTTGCTAAGTTTATGAATTTTTAAAACTGTTTAAAGAATCAAATTTATGGTTTGTCTAATTTCTTATTTATTGTTTCTTCATTTCATCATCATTTTCCCCCAGACTTCTTTAGGTTTAATTCTCCTTTTTCATTCTTAAATTGGAAACTTAGATAACTGATTCGATCTTTTTTCTTCTCCTGATATAGGCAATTAAAGCTCTACATTTCTCTTTAAGCACCACTTTAGCCACATCTCACAAATTTTATGGTGTTTGAAAGATGTACTAATTTTGCCCTGGCTGGTTTGCCTCAGTGGTTAGAGCGTTGGCCTGCGGTCCAGAGAGACCCGGGTTTGGTTCCCGCTAAGGGCATGTACCTTGGTTGCAGTTTGTTCCCGGCCCTGGTTGGGTTGTGTGGATGGCAGCCACTCGATGTGTCCCTTTCATGTCGATGTTTTTCTCTCTCTCCCTCCCACTCTATCTGAACAAAAAATGGAAAAATGTCCTTGGGTGAGGATAAAAAAAAAGAAAAGAAAGATGTACTAATTTTCTTGTGATTTCTTCTTTGAAATGAGTTGTTGAAAATATATGTTTAAATTATAAAATATTGGGAAATTTTATTTTATTTATGTATTTTTTATGGTACGTGCCCCTAGTGGGAACCAAACCCAGGACTCTCTGGTCCACAAGTCGACATTCAACTGCTGAGCCAAACTGGCCAGGGCACAAAATATTGGGGAATTTTAAAATATCTATTGTTACTGAGTCCTAAATTAAATCTGTGGTAGTCAGTTTCATTAAATTTTATTTGAAGGTCCAGCATGACCTTTCTTGAAAAGAAAATGTATTCTGTAATTGTTGCCTAGAAGCCTAAAATATATTTCTTCATCTTTTTTTTTTTGAATGTTTCCCATTCTGGGTTGACTTTTCCCATGTATATAATGTGCAATGTGCATATATCGTTTCAAGTCTTCTTTATTTCAATCAAGTTTTTTTGTTGTTTTTTTTATCCTCATTTGAGGACATTTTTCCACTTTTTGTACAGACAGAGTGGGAGGGAGAGAGAGGAAGAGAGAGAGAGAGAAACATCGACGTGAAAGGGACACATCGAGTGGCTGCCACCCGCACGACCAACCAGGGCCAGGGACAATCTGCAACCGAGGTACATGCCCTTAGCGGGAACCGAACCCGGGTCTCTCCGGACCGCAGGCGGACACTCCAACCGCTGAGCCAAACTGGCCAGGGCTCAATCAAGTTTTTTAAACTTATAAGCAATTATTCTGTTGCATTGTTTTGATTTTCTTATTTTAGGACTCCTATATTACTTATAGTGGATCTTCTTTGTTTATCTTTTTTATAACTTTTTCTTCAACTCTTTTCATCTTTAAAAATTTAGTTTTCCATCGTTTTTCTTTCTGCAGGTATTACCAATTGAGCTTAACGTCTTTTGTGTTTTTTTCCAGTTTAGTCTTTATTGAAAAATTTAAAAAAACTTTTATGAGTTTTGCCATCTCTCTTTTCAAATCTGTCTTTTCTCTTATCACCTATTTTAGTTTTTTCAATTTATATTTTTTTCGCAACCTACAGTATTTTCTTAATTTCTGTTAGCTTAAAACCTCAGGTACAATTTTGATCTCTTTAAGGGCATGTCTTCCTTTTTTATAGGGACGTTAGTCAAGTTTACCATAACTTTATATTAGATTCTACTATGATCTTTTCTTGTTGTACACTTTTATATGAAATGAATTTCTGTCCTTTGAGGAAAGAAAAGGAAGTCAGAATAGAATTTTTTAAGTCTGTTTTTTCTCTGTGGTTCAGATTTGATAAGTTCTGTTATTCTATCTTTAAGTTCACTGACTTTTTTCCTTGTCATATTTATTCTGCTGTTGAGACTATCCACAGAACTTTTTTTCTTTTTTGGTTATTATAGTTCTAAAATTTCCATTTGTTTTTCTTTATATCTTCTGTTTATTTGTTACACTATTTTTTTCACCTTGGATCTTATTTAAATCTGACTTCTAGCCTCCAGAACTGTGAGAAAATTAATTTCTGTTGTTTCAGCCACTCAGGCTGTGGTATTTTTCTATGGTAGCCCTAACAAACTAATACATTTAATATCTTTGCAGATGTGGAAAATCTCTGAGATTTGTACATTTTGTTACTGAGGGCTTTTTCTAGGGATCAAATGTGAAATGGTGTGTGTGTGTATATATTTACACACTTCTGTATAATAATCACAATAGGTATGAAGAGGAACTAAATAGGTAACAACAAATATATTAAAGGCATGACTATGAGCACTCATTTTATGAGGTTATGTATGAAGGTATTTGTAGTCCTATGTCATTTTTCATAACTAAACTTAACATTTTGAAAGCAGAGTTTTTATTTTCTAATGGAAATTCTGAAGGTTCAGTAACCTAATTCATGAACCCGATTTGTTTCCTGTCACTATATCTGATGTATTACATTAGAAATTTGTGAATTTCTTTTGCCGTTTTGTTCTGGTAACTCAATATTAGGACTTGAAATACAAATGAAACATATTTGACTCCAGTCCCTCAGTTATCTCTAATCTTTAATTGGGATCATCAAATTGCCTGCAAAATATAGCTGTTAACTACCTTCTTGCTTATTGAAAAGATAATAGCAGTATACATTGCAATAGAAGACTATAAAGCTAGAATTAACCTACTAAAAACAGTCAAACACCATTTCTTAATTAAGCACTGTCGAAGTTTTGAGTGGAAAGACCAACCAGCTGGCTGCAGAGACACTTAGCAGTGTAGCACTATCTGGGTCAGTTCTCCTTAGCCTGTGGCCTTACACCCAGCTTTGAAGCCTCAGAAACTCAATCTTAATATCTTAGAGTTAGTCCTTCTTAGAAGAGTTGACCTTCTCTAATAAAGCTAAAAATAGACTGATGCAGAATGTAGATGGACCTGTTTAATCTTTATATAACTAAAACAAATAATTGTGAATAGAGTAGTACTTTCTTTTTCCATGACAAACTATGGAAAATCAAATTATAATAGTTATATTTACCTCCACATTGTGAGATAGCACACACTTATATACTAATAAAAATACATTTGCCATTGGATTATGTCTCTCTGTGCTTGAGGGTAGGGATAGTTGCAAGTACTAGGAAGAGAAAAACTATCTTCATAATGTTTAAGCAGCCTTGATTTTTAAAAATTGCAGATAGCGTTGTATTGAGCTAAAAAGAGCACAGAAGTTAAAAGTAAAAAATAACGGTATATATCTTATTTAGTATAGCAGGACACATTGTCAAACAGAAGCTAAACTCTGTTTAGGATAACTACCTTGGGCATATTTACCCAGACATACAAGCTTTCTCATGAATATGAAAATTAATTTATAGAAAATATATTTGCATTCTAATATAATGTAGTAAAACAGTTTATTAATAAAACATGCATTTAAGTTAAACCAATCCAGTGATACTTTCTAGATGTAGTATGTAAATTTATAAATTGAGATTTCTACTGGATCCTTTCAGTATTTTAAAATATTTGATTACTTTATATTTGTATTTTTGCCTATGGATTAATATAATGTGTGTGTGAGTGAGTATATGAAATTTCTTCTCACCAACGGACCTTACAGTTAGGCACAACTCAGAGATTTCTTGGCAAATATAACATTAAGTTAGTGATTATTCTAGGTCAACCATTTTGTTTCTCACTGATTAGAAGTGAGGCCCAAGTAAAAGTTGCTCTCTTAAACATCCAAACCACAGTTGAAAATAATAGTCATGTACTTCTTCTCATTGGATATAAATAAATATAGGCTTAAGCTTCAATTTCTATTGAGAGCAATAACTGACATATTAAAGATCATTTTCCCTGGATAAGAAATGTATAGGGCATCAGTTTCTTCATGATATATTTACACTTCCCTTGAAGTTACTACATGTTCTGCTAAAATGTCCTCTTTCCCCCAAGGGGATTCTAACACCTGCTATCTTTTTGACCTTGTTGTATTTGTCCATTTACCCCTCTCCCCACCAACCACAGATTCTAAAATTGATCATACATTTCCCTTATAATTCTGATGCACTTCCTTTGGGTTGCCTACTCTTACTCTCTCTGTCTACATTTAAGCCCCCAGACAACACTTCAGAATTTCTCATCAATATGAAAAAATTGGGAAGTAGACGTGCACAATACGCAATCACCATTGACAAGTTTGGAACTGAAATTGAAGTCAGAGTGAGGGCAAAAATGGACATCAGCTTTTTTCAATCACAGCAAGTCAGAGAAGATGATAGATGTAGCAGCTAGAGAGAAGTAATCATGTTTTCTACATCTATTGCCTCTGCTCAGCTTTTCCTATAGTTAGGAACATTCCGTTTTAGCCGAGATACACAGACTTGGAGTCTGACAATTCCTTTGCACTGCCTGAAGAAATACAAAAGTGCCAGAGTCATTTAGACATTTGACAGTACTTTGCATAATTCATCAAGACAACATGCAATATTTTCTATAACATTTTAAATAATAAACAGAAGCTTTTTTTCTTTCATTGGCATGTATTTTTAGGAGTCATCTCTCTTTATTTATATTTTAGAGCGTAATACTTTAAATCGAATACTCTTGGGCCCAGTGGGTTTGATGTTATATCAGAATTTGTGTCAGAAAAGTAGCAGCTTATCTTACACATCATTGCAAAATATTTCTTTTTTGTCTTAGTGTTAGAAATCTGGAGACTGACACATTCTAAATGGAGTAGTTTTTGCATATAATTTGATAATGCTTGGCAATAATCTTTTTAAAAATTGCTGTGAGGTGTAATTCAATAATATTAAACATGAGCCCCTTATATTGTACAAAAATTTAAACTATAATGTAACAATCAGTTTGGTTCTTTTAAAATAGCTGTTAGTTAGGTTGAAGGACCCACTTGTTCCTTGGTGTTTAGTAAGATGGGGGTCTCCATTGCAGCTGCAACTTATTCTTTGTCGTTTATATGCCGGATTGGAGGCCTTCTTTTGAGTGGGTTCCTTTAGAAATGTAGATTTCCAACTTAGGTTTAAAAGAGAAACTCTACTTGCACAGCCCAATAAGAGCTTCCACACAACAATAAGATGTTATGTGAACCTGGTAATAGCTAGACAGTCTTCTTCATTTAGGTACTGAACCTCCATTTGACTTTCCATGATTATTTTCTGTCCTCCCAAAGAATTAGGTTTGTTTGAGCTTCAGATAGTCTGACTCAATCTGTAATCCTCTACACCCTCTTCTTCCATGATGGAAGGTTGCCAGGCAGCTTCTACTTCCCTTTCCCTTTACTCAGGCCCAAGAACCACAGGACTCTACTTAGCATCTCTGGTGACTGGTGCACCTAAGTCACCACCTCCTTACAGCTCTACTCTTTATCAACTTCCTGGGATAAAATTTTTTTTGATACTAAGCATGAATGCTTTTCATTAATTTATGATCCATAAAAACTTTTTTATAGTTGGTCATGGTAGATACACTTCAATATTTATGACTTTATAACTTTAATATCAATTGATAATTTAGTAGAATGTCAATAATCTATAGTCCTCAAATCTAAACAATATATGGATTTTGTATTTTTGTGATTTCAGATTCTTTACAGCATAATTTGTATGCTTCCTTTAGTTTTAAACTTACTTAGTTTTAAAATTATTAGCTAAATGAGACAAAAAATATTTCGGTATCATTCTTTTTGCTTCTCAATTAAAGCAATTATCTTAACTATATATGGTTGTATTAGTTTGCTAGGGCTGCCATAACAAAATATCACAGACAGGGTGGCTTAAAAAGAATAGGAATTAATTTTCTCACAATTCTAGGGACCAAAAGTGTAAGATCAAGGTATCAGCAAGGTTCATTTCTTCTGAGGCGCTCTTCTTGGCATGTACATAGGTCTCTCTCCTGGCATGCCTGTGTCCTAATCTTCTCTTCATAAGGAGACGAGTCATACTAGAGCAGAACCCACCTTTTAACTTAGTTACTTCCTTAAAGACGGTATCTCCAAATACAGTCACATTCTGAGGTGTTGGGGGTTAGGACTTCAACATATAATTGGACGGTTGGGGTTACACAATTCCGTATATAATAATGACACTGCACCATATTGTAATTTGCTAGAACACTAAAATGTGTAAAGCACAACATGCTCATTCAACTTTGTAACAGCACAGTGAGGAACCAGAGGTACAGTGAGTCCTAGCTACCTACTCAAGGCCTCTTGTCTGGGAGAAGGCACAACTAGAGCCTGAGTCTCCCGGTTTGAACCTTGCTATCTTTTTACTCTGTAGTACTGCAAACTGAAATAGAACTTAACATTGTACAGATTTTGAATCTTTGGGTATATTCAATCTGCATATTTTGGGTCATGATCTATAAAATTCAGTCATATTTCTACTGTACATAATTTAGTCATAGTTTCCTAACCTTATTTACTACTTTTATTTTCTGAAGAGTAAGTCAGAATCTAGAAAGATTGGTAAACCAGTTAAAACTTAACTGCCAAGTGAAAAAATAAAACATATCAAGGAATTTCTAGAGGTTTATGTCATGAAAAAGTACACTCCTTAAAATTTATTTTTGGTAATGGATAACTTTTATTTATAGCATTGAGGATTTTTAGCAATTTGGTCACCTGCCAGGGAGCAGATGGGGGGAAAGGGAAATACTGAACTACTGAGCTCTACTTTTGCTTTTCCCATAGTAGTTACACTTTCTAGTGTCATCATAGCCTGAGCTACCAGTACTCATTCCTTTGACAGCCCTGGCGCAGGAAATCCCAGCTCTCTCCTACCCTGTCAGAAGCCCTGTCAATGGGTTAGCATTTTAGTAATTAATCATTCTGATTGGTTAGAGTTGATTCAACTATGCCATGAATCTGAGGAATCTTCTTTCTCTTACTGTTCCTATTATCAGAACCTAAGTGTCTCTTACAGACTCTGGAGATCACTCTTTTGTCTTATGATTCTTTCTCCACCTGAAGTATATCTTAAATATGTGACTATTTCAAAGCATTCTATATCTACAAAGACACAACTGATTATTAGTATCAAATGAATATCCTGATTTAAAAATATATAGGTGTAAATATGTTTTAAGTTTATTTAATGTTATTAAAATTCAAAGAAGAGTTTGATAAATGATTGTGACAGATGTGTTGATGACTACCTTTTTTAAAGCATCAAAATAATTAACAATAATTTTCTTTGAAAGTTGGCCAGGGATACTTTGTCCTGATCCTTTTAAAGGGAAATATGTGACCTATGACCTGGATGGAAATGTTGAACAGTATCACATAGAATTCCTGGGTGATCCCCATTCAAGATCATGGATAAATGCAACATTTGTTGAACATTATAGTATCACATTAAAGGTAGGTAGCATCAAAATGTTATTCTTCTTGTACTTGTTTTTATTGTGGACATTTTTGTCTCAGATCCTAAAAAGTATATACTCACTTACTTTTATAGTTTTATAAACAAATAGTATATAGTCTTTATTTAAACTCAAATATTTTTATTTTTAAAGCAGTTTTTCAAAGGAAGTGTGGATATAAAAATAGTTATGGTATACTTTTAAATTTTACTTTTTTAATAGCAATATAGTATAAGTCAACTGAGTACTTCACATAATTGCCTTTTGAAATAATTTTAAGATTATCATTTGGTAATTTTTCACTCCTTTTGAGAAGACTCAATTGTAGCCATAGCTCACAGGGAAAATTAATTATGGAAAGCAACCAGATATTCACATTTCAAATGGAATATTTCATTATACTAGCTTCTTTAGTATCTTTCTTATTCTTTTTAAACTTTAAATTACATGCTACCATTAATGAGTAGACTGGACTTTCTGGTTGAGAAGAATAGGTAAACTGGATCCATTTCCATGGGTTAAGTTAACTCAGGTACCTGTGTCTATTTCTAATATTAAAACTTTTCATCTACAAATCATGCTTTCATTAGAAATCAGATTGAAAAGTAGATGTTAGAAATGTGGATTTCTTTTACTCAATTTGGATGTTTTCTATTTTATAGTGAGGAGTTTATATATTCAGATACACATATGAGCGTATGTACATTTAAAAAGTGCTATTTAATTCACAGTATAAGTAAATCTGTGGAAATTTGAAGTACTTTAAAATGGGCTTTTGCTCTATTTCTGGCATAAATGGTATCTTTGTTCCTTTCAGCTTGAAAGCAGCTGGAAGGGAAGGCTGTTTTATTTAAGTGGAATAACATCGCTTATATTCATGTCATGGTAGTTGTGAGCCAGTCATTGTAACGTGAGCACCTTCTCTGCTCTGATGTCTTGGCTGTGTGCCTGGACACTCTGCTGACAGCCGTGGAAGACAGGGAAGAGTGTTCTCCCTCTGTGCCCCTCCCCTTTTCTAAAGGATGGGCAAACCTCCTAGCTTCTCAGGGAGCAGACCTCAGAACCTTAGATATTTGACAATGTGGTAAAGAGTGGGGCATTCTTAAGAAATTATATTGAAATATAAGTAAAGCATATTTTAAAATTGTCAGAGCTAGTAGTACTCAGGATTTGAGTTTGTCATGATTAATTCCAGTAGTCTGGTATCAGTGAGCATACCATTCATCCCTGGGACAAGAAAAAAATCTGATGCAAAACAAAGCCTAACACAAGAATCAGTAGCCATAAATTTATGACCTTATGAAAGTATTAAAGCAAACTTAGAGAAATTCTTGCAAAGACTAGGAATTCAGGACTGTTTAAATTAATGAAAGGGTGAGCACAGAAGAAAATAAAGTGTTTGTTTTTGCTGTCCCACTACTTTTCCTAACTAGCTGGGTGCTCTGGGTGGATAACTTACCGGGTGCACACAGGCTCTGGGGCAGGCCCTCTCCTCTACTCTTACTCAGGGTACCTTCCTACAGACTCTGTTCTTGGCCTACGCTCTTTATTTCTTGTCTGTATCTTTTTCTTTATTTGTTCCCTTAGAGCTAGTATGATAAGGGCACCTTCTTCTGTGGGTCTCTTCATTCAAGTCTGAAATTTTAGATCCTTTTTACGTCAGTTCAGCTGGCACATGCCAGACTGTCCTGCTGTGCTCCGATCCCCACTCCTGGCTACCTAAGATCTCCACGTGTCAGGGAGGGGAGACACACATGACTGAAGCCTCCTTGCCCCAATCTATTCAAGAAACAGAAGGCAAGATGGTGGTTGATTCAGGAAGTACAGGCAAGCAAGGTAGAAAAATGGTAAAACATGATATAAAAATTATCCAGTTCCAAACTATGTATTGATCTGGGGATAGGTGGGATTTATGTCCCTCTCCCTTGGAGATGGAGATGGTCTTGATTTCAACCTTTAGTTTTATTTACTAGACTTCCACGGTTTTCATCTTTTTGTGGTCCTCTGCACTGGAGCTCTTGCATCCTCAGATGCTATCTCTGTACTGTACCACAGTGATCCAGATATTAAATCCACACACCCTTACCCCATAAGAAAGTTCACTTGAATAAAAAATAATGTATAGTAGACAATATAGGCTTTCTTAAAGATTTTTCTAGAAGAGGGAAGAAGGATACACATTGCACTAGTTGTCTGATCTTTTCCTACAACTAGACAAAAAATGGGCACATATAATTCTTACTGGCTTAAGCTGTCTAAATCTTACTTTATGCATTATTTCAACATCAGTTTCTCCTAATTTGTATAAGCTTAGTTTAATAAGTGATCAAATAATATTTCAGAGTTTTCACTGAATATAGGCTATATATATATTTTATAGTGTATGTTAAGTTGGGTGAAAAATAGGCTCCTCTAGAAAGATATTAAATGTATTTATAAGAAAATGAAATATTTTTTGGTTTTAGATTATAAAAGGATTTAATTCTTCTCTTTTATTTCATATTTGTCTAGTTTTTTTGTTTTGAATAGACAATTCCCCCTGGTTGATATGTTTATGGGACCACTGAATTAGTAATTTTATTGTTGAAAGTGCAGAACTCTTGTTATTATCTCTTCATACAGATGATAAGATTTTCTCCAATAAATAAAAGTACTCATAGATACACTGTAATATACTTTAGAAAAGAGTTGAAGGTAATATTTAGATTGCATATTTATAATTTATATAGGTTTATTCATACATTATTTTTCATTTACCATAAAATCAGTAGCTGTAAAGAAAACTGAAGTTCCCCCTCCCTTTTAAAGAGACCTTGATTCTTTTAAAAGTATGCATTTTAAAAATATATATCATTATGATAATTACTCAGATAAAATGGGCATGAACATGTACTAGATGCATATTTTTTTTTAAAGTCAATGCATGGAGTAAAATTCTTTCCCCATTGGCACAAATAACTTCTTTTGTGTTTAGTAGGTACACGTCTGCAGAACTCATTATTTACAAGTTTATTTTTTAGCTTGATAGACTACTATATAACTTAGCATTTTTAGTATTTTTTTAAGGCTGGATGTGTATCAGAGAGCTTTACAAAACAGTAACAACAACAGCACAAGAAAAACACAGCAATGCCTGGTCTCCACTCTACTGGATCAATTGAATCAGAATCTCTTGGTTAGGGCCAGGCCTCAGCATTTTTAAGTTCCTCAGATGCATCTAATGTGCAGCCCAGAGAGAGAAAGAGAGAGAAATGCTGACTAAGTTTTCTCAGCTTGAAGCATCAGAGTTTAATTGGTTTTATTGCTATGTAACTGGTTACAGGTTACTGTTTTCTGCTACTTCTGCTTCTTTTGTTAATCTTACACTTTAAATTTGCCTGAAAATTTTATAGCTTACTGCTATAGATTCACATGTCTAACCCAACAGTAATTGGTTTCATTGAACACAAGTTTAAGGTCATTCTTGTCTTTCACCATTATACATAATTCATAGATATTGCTGATAAAACTGATGTATAATTTGAACTTAAATATTTATACTTTGTTTAAGTTGACCATCTGTCTGATAGGTTATATAGAGTCATTATCATTTTTCTTGGACATAAATAATGTACTCCAGTCAATAATTGCTTGGCCTATACTTTTCTAGTTCTTTATATTGCCAAGAAAAAGGAGGTAGTTTACCCCTAATACTATGATGTTCCTATGGTGAAGTTTAGATTTGTTGGTCCATGTGTGAATGGATTATTTTTTAGCTATGTATTTTAGTAGTCTGCTTAGTACTGTATGTAGGATAAACCTGTAGATATGTGACAATTGCTTTGGCTACCAGGTTTCAGTTGGGTATTTATCCATTGTGTTATGGAGTTGCCTATATTTTTCAGGGAGATGAAAAGGGAACAATGCCATATTGCTAGACTTGAGCCCTGTGACTCCTAGAATGCTACTTCCTAATTGGAGTAATTATTAATACTGCTCACCAAAATTATCTAGGTCTTAGTTTTTCTGTTACAAAGTAGAATTGCACATTTGATACTCTTGTGGTGGGTTAGGGCCAGTGCATTGTGAGATGAATGTCACCTCTTTGAACACATAGTGGCTGACATCCAGTGCAACATCCTTGAGAATTCTATCTTTCCCTGTGGCACCGTGATTGATAATGTTTAAAAATTGGTTTGCCTGGATCCCTGAGTGACTACTCTTAGCAAAAAAATTCCCTCTACTAACAGATAGCCGATATGCATTGTGAGAAAGCTATAGGCTTGTGTTAAGCCCCTGGGATTATTCTCACAGGTGCACTATTGATATCCCAGGAATGTCACAATTATTCAGTAATCTGTACTCTTCAGAAGATAGTCAAATGACTGAAATCACATTCTTCTGATTTCTCCAGTCTGTAAATAGAAATAACACAACTAGTTATCTTACAGTAATTTATCAAATAAATTTATTTATTTTCTGTATGATGATAAACATGTGAGTAGAAATTGCCAGCTGATTCATATACTGACTATAACTTTAGACTAGTAAATATCATCCAGCAAAGGGCTCTGATGTCAACATGCACTATTATGATTCCAATAATTAGCCCACAAATAGCAATTATTTATTGAGTCCCTTCCAAAGATTAAGGATTGAGTAGATGTTTTCATGTAACACTTAAAATTTTACAGCAACCCCATGAAGAAAGGCATCATCACTATTAGATGTGTGGAAGAAATTGAAATTCAGGCTACATGTCTAACCAAAACTCATTTAGCTACCAAGTGATGGGATGATTAGAATCAAACTAAATTCCTTTCTCTTTCTATACAATGCCAATTTCCTTATGCTTAAGCAGTGGTCTAATTCATTGTTGAATGTTTCCCACATTTGCACCTATGAAGTTAGGACATTTTTCACCTTTTAGTTCTAATAGACATGTTTAATTGATGACAGTCTCAGGTAGACTTGCTCAAGGAGAACTCTTGACTCTTTCAAATTACATATGCAGTAATT